CCCGTGTACGTGTGGACGTAGCCTAAAGTGATTGCAATTTTTTCCCATTATTCCCATTTACCCTTACATCAGTCTGCAATACAGCCAGTTGACAAGTGACTGTAGGTTCAGACGCCCAAAATGTGTCTTATGTTTCAGTTAGTTTTTTATATTATAACACACTGTTTTGCTCTCTGTGTAAACAAAACACATTATAATTAAATAAATTTGGTAAAAGTAGGAAATAAAACATAAAACTATCTAAAAGAAGAGTATCATATAATCTCGATTCATTCTTCAGTTGAGGGATACAGAAGTTCCACTTCACATCACCTCTGTTTTTTCTAAATTAGTTTATTCTGCTGCAACAATTTACCTCTGAGAGATGTTTACAGCTGTTTGTTTTGTTTTACAGGTGGTGTTGATCCTGGCCTACAGCACCATTATTGTGCTGGGAGTTCTGGGTAATTCTCTTGTCATCTATGTCATCTATCGCTTCAAGACGCTCCGCACTGTCACCAACTTCTTCATTGCTAATTTGGCTGTTGGTAAGTTTATACATACAGACGCACGCCAGCAGCTTTTTGTTGCTTCTAATATAATACTGTCACTGTGCTCAGAGCAATAAAACACTTTCTGACATGTGTAGGTGGTGGTGTTTGTGTGTTTTTGTCTCCAAGTGCATGTCTTCTTAAGATTGCTGGGAACTTAATCTGTTTGGGAACATGAGCCCATGACAGAAATCATTCAAATTTAAGATTTAAAGATAAGAGTAAGGTTAAAAGTTTGGATTTGGTTGAGTTTATGGTAAAGTTAGGTTTGTGCTATTGTTAAAACAAGGACAGTGTGCCGTTATGGGTGCATGTCTAATGCAGGGGCGTTAACACCTTTCTTATATCACCACTCTGAAGACCGATGAGCGTTGTCAACAGGTTTACTGACATTCAAAAGGGTAAAGGCAAGGCAAGGCAAGGCAAATTTATTTGTATAACACAATTCAACAACAAGGTGATTCAAAGTGCTTTACAGAGACATTAGAAACAAAGACAAATAAAAAGCATGATTTAAAATTGATTAAAAAAAAAAAAAAACAGTATATAAAATCAAAACAGAATAAAATCAGTAGTTAAATGTAAGTTTTGAAATTTAAGCTTAAAAGTGTGGATTTGGTGCTTTATTCAAATGCAGCTGAGTCTGGGTCAGGAGGTCACTGATGTATTTTGGTCCTAAACCATTCAGAGCTTTATAGACCAGCATCAGAACTTTAAAGTCTATCCTCTGACGGACAGGCAGCCAGTGTAAAGACCTCAGAGCTGGACTGATGTGGTCCACTTTTTTGGTCTTAGTGAGGACTCGAGCAGCAGAGTTCTGAATGAGCTGTAGTTGTCTGACTGATTTTTTAGGTAGACCTGTAAAGATGCTGTTACAGTAATCAAGCCTACTAAAGATGAATGCATGGACTAGTTTTTCCAGGTCCTGTTGAGACATCAGATCTTTTATCCTTGAAATATTCTTGAGGTGATAGTAAGCTGACTTTGTTATTGTCTTAATGTGTTTTTCTAAGTTTAGGTCTGCATCCATCACTACACCCAAATTTCTCGCCTGGTTTGTGGTTTTTAGGTGTATAGATTGAAGTTCTCTGGTGACCTGTAATCGTTTTTCTTTGGCGCCAAAGACTATTACCTCAGTTTTGTTTTTGTTTAGCTGGAGAAAATTGTGGCACAACCAGTCATTAATTTCCTCAATGCATTTACCAAGAGCCTGTACAGGGCCTCGGTCTCCTGGTGACATTGTGATATAAAACTAAAAGCAAGACAAAAAATACAGTCATGACATACATATGTGCAGCATAATATGCATTTATATACCACCCTGCTACTACATAGCATATGTCTAATTATGTAAACTTTTTAAACTACTACTGATGCTATCCCAGACGAACTCCAAAATCACAGGTAACTAGCTTAACAAAAGGACGAGCTTTACAGCCAAATACTGCATTAGCGGGCAACATATTGTACAAAAAACAAAGTTGCAACTTATACTTTAAGTACATACCGGCGATACAACCATAAACAGAAGATGTGGACAGTATTTCTTCCAACAGGACACCATAAACTGTGTGCCGATATGTTTCCCTTCTTCTTTCTCACTTGCTTTGCTTGACTGAGCGGATTACTTGGAGCAGCCACAGAGGGCGCTGTAAACACATAATAAATAACAACTGACTGAGAATGATATTTTAGTGATACAACATTTTACAACTTTTAGTGATACAGAACAGACAGCTTCATGTTAAGGATTCCTCAGGATGACAAGTCTTCAAGAATTGTGCATTTATACAATTTATGCAATTGCAATTTATACAAGCACAGAGATAAGTCCATTTTTAGAGCCCTAAGAAGATGATTACCCTTTCCTAACCTTCATTAGTGCTGTTTTGGTGCTTATTTACAATATTATTAGGAAGCACTGAAATCATTTTCATTGCTATGCAGATAATACCCAGTTTGATTTATTAATGAATGTAGATGATACAAATTATGTTCTTAAAATATAGGCATGTCTTCAAGACATCAAGACCTGGATGACCTCAAAGTTCCTACTTCTAAATTCAGACAAAACTGAGGTTATGGCACTCAGTTCTAAAAGTCTGAGAAACATGGTGTCTAAGCAGATAGTTACTTACTGGGTAATATCAACTTGGAGTCATTTTTAACAGGATTTGTCCTTCAGTGTTCTCATTAAGCAAATATGTAGGACTGCGTTCATTCATTTGCTTAATATTGCTAAAGTCTCAGAACAGCCTTCAGTTGATCCAGAATATTTCAGCAAGAGAGCAAAATGAGATTGCAAAAGGAGACTTTTCTCTAAAATTGGCTTCTCTTCATTGGCTTTGTGTTAAATTCAGAATTGAATTTAAAATCCTTCTCCTCACATATAAGGTATTGAATAATCAGGCTCCGCCATATCTTAAAGACCTTATATCAGCCCATTATACTAACAGAGCACTTTACTCTCAGACTGCATGTTGTGGTTTTGAATAGTGGAGAACTGGAGATCAAGCATTCAGCCATCTCTAATAAATAACCTCCCAGTTTGAATTTGAGAGACTGTCACTCTCTCTACTCTTGACACTAGGTTTAAAACTTTCTTTTTCTTGAAGGTTGCAGTTGGCAAACTTTATCCTTGCTAAATCATTAGCAGTTATTATACTCTGGTTCTTGCTCCCATAGTGACTCTTTTGTCCTGTGTCTCTCTGCTTTCTTCTCTTTCCAGTCAGTACCAAGGAGTTGAGGCAGATGGCTGCCCCTCCCTGAGCCTGGTTCTGCTGGAGGTTTGAAAGTAAATTTAGAGAGTATGATAGAACCAGGTTTGGCCCCTTGTGGAAAAAATAGAAAGCCAATACATATCCTGAAGTGGAGATGTGTGGTATCAAGGCTTTCCAATCTTAATGCTTCCCACAGGAGGGATTTATTTGATTTTGATTTTTGAAACTATCTCCGAATGTTTTCTGCCATTTTCATTGCTTGTTCTGTTCTTTCTCCATTGTAAGTTTTACACATCCAGATGCTCGTTCCAGTGTTAAAAGGTTGTGCCACAGACATTATGAGCCATTTTGCCTGAAAACCCCTCTTTGGATTGTTTCATCACGTTAATAATGTTAGCGTTACCCATCTGGTGATCTGAATGATAAAAGTTAACTTAATGGAGACTGCCCTTGGTAATATTCCTTTTAATCCCTGGTGGTTTTGTGGATTTTCATCTTTAGATAGTGATCAATGTTTACATGCCACAAGCTCACATATTTGAAGCCTGCTAGCAAGAGAAATGGCAGAGTGAGAGTGTGGTAGAAAGAGGAAAAGTTCCCAAGATGTTTCCCTGGAGAGGTTTATTCACTTCTGTTGCACTATCTAGTCATTCTACACTAGTGCCAACACTGAGTTCATCATTATTAGATCAATGAAATTGCATTATGAGGGCTAGATTTATGGGAATTGGTTAAATGAGTCCCAAAATGAAATTCAACCACTGAGAATGGTATGTCAACTTGATGTCAAGCGTAACAGGTAAACAGAGGTGGTCTTCTAATGTCGAAGTTGTAATCTTGCAATGAGTTTGATAGACTTCTTTGCATGTAAATGGAAAATGCAACTTAACCTTTTAAAGCCAAGTGTATCATATTTGATATGTGAGTTATGGTGAGTTTTTGAGACTTCTACATGATCAGTAAAGACTACCGCCCTCTTGTTTGTTTGTTTTTTTAATTTCATTGTGAGGTTCACTATACACTCCAACTTTTCCACTCCCATTACCATAGAAATCTTTCATCATAAGATTAAGGTGTTCTCCCTAAACAGATTTCTGGGGCGAGTGAACCCAAACAACAGCAGCAAAATGCTGCCTGCAGCATAACACAGTCACCGTTTCTTCAACGTAGGGGTCAAAAGTTCAGCTTATTCCTTTAATTTCTAACCCGTCTGTATATGTGTATGTGTAAGCTGTCAGTAAGGATGACTCAAACATCTGCCGCTGTGTGCTAGATCTTAGTGATGTCTCAAATTTGTTGGCTGGTTCGAGTGGGAGAGGCCAGCGGATGCAGAGATGAACTCAGACATTTGTTGTTTTTGTGACAGGCAGACATTTTAAATGGAGGAATCAGAGTTTTCTTTACCAATATGTGAAGAGTGTCTGTGTGAGCACATAAATAAGGATTTTATACAGAGGACAGAAAAGTGACATCTAAAGAGTTCAAAAGAATTTCAAGAGATGCACAAATCCTATTTTGCCATTTTCCTTTTTATTTTATGTATGATGACCCAATTCATAATAATAATTCTTTATTTAAAAGGGACAGTACAGATTAACATCGTCCAAGTATAAAACATAAAATTGATGTACTGCACATAAGTTTATAGGTATTGCTAGTTTCCAACCATTGTCCCTTGTTGGGCTTACATTCACAATACACGGAGTTAAAACATACATTTTCATGAAACCAAAATAAACCATGAATACAGCTACAATTTTAGACAATGTAAAAAGAAAAAAAAGATTACTTAAAATGACTACAGCTCTGATTTCCCTTTAACCAACCTTTAACCTTCAATGTAAATGATCTAATACCTGTAAGGCGAAAGCGCATCAAATCCGATTTTTTTGACCCTATGCGACCCATATCCGATCATGGTATGACAGTGTGAACGGCACAAATCCGATATTTTCAAATCCGATCTGGGTCACTTTCGTATGTGGTACTGAATCCGATACATATCCGATGTTTCAGAAAGCGACTGCTGTTTGAATGGTCAAGTCGCATTAAATCCGTCTTTTACGTCACTGACACAAGACAGACGCCAATTATCAGCGCCGGAGAAGACATCGCGAACGCTTCCTGGCCATCCGGTGAAACTGTTGGGAAGACAACGTTGGAGAAACGTTAACATTTTATTTGTACTGTATAATCTGCAGATTCTGACAGAAATCTGCAGCTATCCTTTGAAGCACCGCTCCTCTAAAACAGCAATAAGGATCATTATTAGGTTAT